TAAGGGAAATTTTAGCCCATAAAAAATTTTTAATTTTTTGGTTTTCCCCCTCTCGAGTCTTTTCATCGTACAAACAGTTCAACATTAAAAAAGTCGTTGAGATCTGATCAGTTTATAATTTTGATTAAAAAAAAACATGGACAAAAAAATGTTACAGGTACGACCGTGCAATATTGCTAGTTCATATATGTAAGGAAAGGTTAACACTTAAAGACGACCTTGTCAATTTTTTTTAAAAAGAGCATACAATATCCACACGGCCTTGTCTATCTTTACAAACTTACTATTTTCTCTTTGTACTTCTTTCATAAAAAGTAGATTTTAGAGATATAGATATAATACAAAGTGTTGCAACTTAAAATTATCGACAATAATTTTGATTTTTTCATATTGGATTACAGCGATCGTCCGTTCATAAAATTGTCCGATAATTGGATCCCGGAATTTTGAGATATATTAAAAGATAATAAATCTAATCCTTCAATTTCGTTACTGAAATATTTTACAACTAGATCCCGATGACAACACTATAATATGACAGTGGGAAGACATTTGTTTTTCTCAAATATTCGGTACATGTATATTGAATGAGTGTATGTTCAATACTGAATTTATTGAACGAGATGAATAAAATTGTAAATATGCGATCCACTGGCGAGCATGATATTATTTTATTCAACGACTTCAATAAATTAATGTAATGAACCTACACGAATATAATATTCACATATTATCACATATCCAAAATAAGAACTGTTTATAGTAAAAAGAACCACTTCTTTCATTGATGTGTTTGTAGTGATTGCATAACGCAAATGAAGTCACGTCAAAATAAATGCACGACCGTGCATTACCATTTTTACAGAGTCGCAAAAGCGACATGGGTATGTCATAATCGCAATAAAAAACTTTTGATTTTTGGTTCATTTTAATGAAGATTCAACTCTTTATATTCAGTGGAAACAAATGAGAGATAACGCAGTGATTGATATTAATAATATTTCATTGATAAAATACAGTTTATCGCTACTTACGCGAAGACTCAATACATATACATCAAACAGCTCTTCTTGCCCAAAACATATATAGTAGCCTTATGATACATAAATACCGGTTCTTCAGTGTGTTGTTTTATATTTCATAGGAATAGCACCAAGCGAATGGGAAACTATGTGTGTCAACTTTGTAATGTTTCTAGTCTTGCAGCTTTTGACTTGTCTTATATCTCTGAAAAGTTGTATAATTAATAAATATTTCAAAGCAAAACCAAACTTCCAAGTTATTCGACATAAGTGTATCGTACTCTCAACTTTTATCAAACAGACATTTTTTTATTTACATTAACCAAATACATTGTATATATATGAAAAAGTTCACGGGTACTGGCAGTCATTTATAAAGTTCTACAGAAGGAAATAGGTTAGTCGTCTCGTCTAATTGTTGCTTACTTTTGTTCAAAATGATACACATTAATATACATTAAATGTCAAGATAAAAGAGAAGACGAGCATACATTCCAAATTTATAATATCTCTTAAAACGATTATTGAATTAAATTTTAATGACCCAATGCGTACATAAACAACTTTTGTTAATTCCCCCGCCGATGTTTTTCCCCACCAGGAAAAGGCAATTATAAATAGCCAAGATTAACCGACACAGCCCAATAAACCAAAATAAAAATTCCTTGGAAATCCATAAGACATGAGAAATTATGATTACAGGTAAAAATTGATTGACAAAGCTCTATTCAACCAACGAATATGAAACTCATTTAGAGGGAAAACCAGATATAAACGTTGAAGACACTCACGACGGATGGAAATGTCTACGAATCATTGATCATATCAGTACCACTGTCAGAATGACAGACACTATGCTTTGTTCTAAAATGTGCAGAACGTAAAAACGGAAATGCTGAGGAATGGTGATCTTTTGTCCTAACTACAGACATCTGCAGAATCTGTCTAGCATAGGATAATAAGCTCAAAAACAAGGAGAAAACGATGCCCCTAGTGCATGCACCCTATACAACAATTCTTCTTTGTATAGTACTAGTACCGGTCAAAAAATAGAAGCAGACTTAAACATGATTTTGAACAATTTCTTTAAAATATATACATAAAAAGGTTTAATCTAACAGAAATGGGCAAAGAATTTAATTTAGAAAATATTTTAATTCTAAATGAATAAAATATGCAAAATTGATTTTATATTCAATACAAAATGGATGAGAGAATGATGTAAAAACAAAATGTTCAACATAAAAATAAAGATTGCAAAGCAAAAATAAAATAAACAATTACATTTGGAAAAGTCTCAATAGTTCTAAGTTAAAATACATCTGTACATGCATAGTATTTTCTTATTGCTTAAAATAAATAAATAAAAAGTAAAAAATTCATATTTAGGAGAAATACAATGGTATAATTAAGACAAGAGGGTCACGATGGCCCTGAAATCGCTCACCTGAATATAAAAACTCTCTATGACAAAGAACAAGTAACATTGTAAACTATAAACAATGCAGAATGATATAAATCTTCATGTAAGTCTTAAAGTGATATCACAAAGTTTATATTTGTATCTGGAACAGTGCACGTGTAAAAACATTACTGGTTGCTATAGTTAAGAGAAACAACAGTTCCAAAAAATGTGTATATATAAGGAAAATCAATGACCCCCTGGGGTGGGGCCAATTTTGCCATCAGGGCTTTTATTTGAACAAACTTGGTAGACACTCACTAGAAGATGGTTCATGCTATATATCTAAGCTCTAGCACTTTTGGTTTTTTAAAAGAAGATTTGTTAAGTTTTTACTATATACATATAAGGAAAATCAATGACCCCTCCCCCTGGGTCGGTACCAATTTTGGCCCAGGCCAAATATCCAAGCTCTAGCTCTTTGGGTTTTTTTTTAAAGAAGATTATTTTTTAGTTTTTCCTTTCAGTTGCCATGGCAACCAGAGTTCTGCATGGAATTCAATTATTCCTGTGAAGTTGGATTAAATTGGCTCAGTGGTCTATGAGAAGATATCATTTAAAGTAAAAGTTTAAGAACAAACAACATACGGACAGACGACCCCTGACAAATTGTGATCACAAAAGATCACCTTGTCACTTTGTGACAGGTGAGCTAAAAATGGAAAAACTGAACACACTTAGTACTAAGATTCTGAAATTAAATCTGGACCCAAGTAAAGCATTTGGTTTTCCAAGATCTTCAGTGCTCTTGTAGTACATGGCATAAAATTGATTTACATTTTATTATAAAATATCAAAACCTATCCATTACAATGTAACCTATCACTTACACCACTAATTACTCTGTACTACCGTACTGTTAACTAGACAGTGTATGACATTAATGCCCATAACTGCTTACTATATAACATTTAAACTTATCTTTACTGTATCTTCCCAAGATATCTTGGTACAACTGTTAACACTGTATAAAATATCTTGGTTCAACTATTTACTTGATTAACTACTAACTAGATAACATTTGGACCCATAAGATATCTTGGTACAACTGTTAACACTGTATAACATCTTGGTTCAACTTTTAACTAGATAACATATTGTTAACACTATATAACATCTTGGGTCAACTGTTAACTTGATAACATATGGCCCTATAAGATTTCTTGGTACAACTGTTTACACTTTATAACATCTTGGTTCAACTTTTAACTAGATAACATATTGTTAACACTATATAACATCTTGGGTCAACTGTTAACTTGATAACATATGGCCCTATAAGATTTCTTGGTACAACTGTTTACACTTTATAACATCTTGGTTCAACTTTTAACTAGATAACATATTGTTAACACTATATAACATCTTGGGTCAACTGTTAACTTGATAACATATGGCCCTATAAGATTTCTTGGTACAACTGTTTACACTTTATAACATCTTGGTTCAACTTTTTACTAGATAACATATTGTTAACACTATATAACATCTTGGGTCAACTGTTAACATGATAACATATGGACCTTTAAGCATGGAACAACTGTTAACACTATAAAAACATCTTGGTTCAACTATTTACTTGATAACATTAAAACTTATATAAAATATCAGTTACATTAGGTCTTGGTTTTGTAACAATCTGTCAAAAACATGAAATTCAGGAAGCACACAATTAATGAATTTATATCAACAGTTTCTACGGTTTTATTGTTTACACTGTCAGCTCAGCAATAGTTATATGCACTGATTACAGTGGTTTACTTTTTTCTTTGACTAGAAAATGAGAGATAGGTTTGATACAGGATAATATCTCAGCACTGACTTGACCAGCAAATGCTCTGGTTATACAAGCAAAAGGGGGTGGGGTATGTTTTAGTGTAATGAGATTCTGGTTGTTGTCTAACTGAACTTCTGTGAAAGCACTAACATTGTCCAGGTTTCCCTCAATGTACCAGAGTGACTGACCATCTGTAGCAGTGAATTCACACAGGCAGGGATACTCGGATTCCTCATCATCATATACATATGGTTTTGTTATTGTAGTGATAACCTTCCCCGGTAAGTTCACTTCAGTCAATACCTCAGAGTTAAACTTATATTCATACAGTATCTTCACCTCATGTCCACAATTTTTTGTTCCATTTGACACAATGAGGAGACTATCACTTTTTTCTATAATAGCACTTCCCCTGAATACATCTTGGTCTTCAATAAATTCAGATTTCAACATGACTGGCACAGGAAATAAGTTATTCAAATTGGCAATAAACACAATGTTCCAGCCGCCATCTAAAGTGCTATGGGTTACTAACATTTCATTACTAGTTTTACTGATATGTGCATTCATTTCAGGCATTCCACCATTGTCTGACAAATTGGTCCGTATTCTGGTTGGGGTCACAAAAATGCAATCCCAAGACTCTCCATCATTACCCATAATATAGCAACGGAAATACATATCTGTCACCTGATCAAATGAATTGTCTGTAAACAGCCTCATTCTAACAACCATGTACCTTTCATTTCTGTTCCCAGTCACAAAACACACATCATTTGCCTGAAAGGGACCATTTTCTAACTCTGGGCTGATATTTGTATCCGAGTACTGTATATCAGGTGCATGCCATGTGTGTTCTTTCACATTATACAAATCAATGTAATCGCCTCTGTTGTCAACAAAAGCAATATCATCATTCATAACAACTAAACGACTTTCATATCCTGAACCATCAATGAGATACTCTGGCATTCCACCTTGCTCATGAAACTCACAGACACGGTACCAGCTACGTGTCCTTGGTATATATGCACACACATCAAATACAGCATCATTAAAAGGTTCTTGAACATGATGAATGAGACCTCCTAATCTTGCTTTTTTATAGTCCTCTATCAAACATAATTTTGGTGATAATGTTATTACCGCTAATTCTGTGGCTGGAGGTTTTTTCTTTCCTTTGCCGACTAGTTTATTTGTACTACATGATGCCACCTCACTCTCAAAACCATCAGAGTCTGTACATGTATCTGGTAATTTCACCATAAGTACTTCATCTATAGCAGTTTTTAGTCTGGCAATAAAATCTTCTTTGTTGACAATATCACATGTCTCTAAAGTCACAACAAGCTTTTCAAACAGTGCTTCTAGACACACTTCACTCAGTGCCGAACATTCCATTCTTTCTTCCATTCTGTTTAAAGAATCCAATAACTCAAGACCAATGGATACGTGTTTTTCAGTTTTTCCTCTGTTTACCCATTTTGTCACAAACTGTACAACATTGAAAGCAGAGCAATGTTGAAACACATCCTTCTCTATAAGACAAGCCATTTCATCTGCTGAAAGATTTAGAGTAGAATCTTCAAAGATCAACACATCATGAAACCTTGCTTTCATCATCAGTTCTGCATCAAACTCTATATCTGCTATTCCATGTTCTGCTGAATAAAGATAGAACTTTACACATGTTTTTAGACAAAGTGCATCCTTCATATAAGCAGCTGAAAAATTTCGCAGGGTTTCTAAAAGAAAGAAGGATGACAGTTTAACTATAACTTCCAAATTTTCCATATTTATTTCAACTTCTCCTGAGTAAATAAAGTTCATAATAATTTCTAAAGCTTCAACATTTTCTGTCACTTCGGAGAGATTAATCTCTTTCATATTTGCTTCACTAAAGTGACCGAGAAACAATGACTTAAAGTACTGACAACCTGCTGCCAACACTGATCTATGTGCATGTATTTCATTTGATCCAACTTTTAATGTGACATCACAGAAAGTCTTCTCTTGTCGTAACTGGTTCAGTTCTGACATTAATGAAGTAAAGTGAGATTCACTGGCTCGATATAACACCATGATTTCTTTCTCTTTCTTATTTGTCTGAAAAAAGAAAGCACATGATGTAATATTGTACATGTATATTATAAAATATAAACTACAGCTACCAATTAGGAATTTAAAACATCACAAGAATTTTCATGACCACATAACCCTTTAAAGAGACCAGATTATATTTTACAATTAAAGAAGAGCCATCGCTGGACAGGGGCAACGCTTGACCTTTTTATTTTTCGTAAAAACTAACAGATAAATGGTTTGAACAAATCTTTAAAATTACAAAGAAAAAAGTTTTTTCCTTTTTTTAATTTTAACAGGTCTGTCTAGTCACATGTTGTTTTGTCCAAGTATGAACCAATTCCGCAACAAGAAATGTAGAACGACACATATGCACCCCTTTCTAGCCCTTGACTCACATTATTTATAATTTTGTTATAGAATATTGCAATAAATGGGAACATGGAAGTGTTCATATATGGAAAAAAGAAAAATAATGACCTACTAGTTATAACCAATCAACAGTCTTCACGAAAAACTTTAAAAAGCGCAAGACATTCGGGCCAGTAAAATTTCAAATCTTACTGGCCCTGGTGATTTTAACCGGACCAAATGCATAGATAGGTAATAAATTGATGGGTAAAGGAAAACACTTGATCATGCTTCCCTTGATAACTTTGAAAGAAGTATAATACTTCTTGTATTCTGGGCCATATGTTGACAGCTTTGAAAAATCTATAAGGACCAAATGTTTAGACAAAATTGACTAGAATTGAACATGAACAACGCAATTTGCTTCTAACAAATCACTTTCACACAAAATATTGACTTTGATAATCATAAAATCATAGCTAAATAATGACAATAATAAACAATGGTTTAATTTCCGTTACTGTACGGTGCGGTACGGAAAATATCCAAGAAAAAATGGCAGCCTCCAATACTCAATACAATTTAGACATCTCTTGCTGTGTTTTGAACATTTAGGACAGAATTGATGGGTTTCATTTGCAAAAAAGGCAAAAAGATCGATCTTTTAGAGAACCCTGCTTCATTATTTTGATGAATTTTTCTTATAATATTTATTCATGGCCAAAAATCTACTGGACCGTCGGACCACCAACCTTGCAATAATCACCGGACCGATGCTAAATTTAGTGGCCTCGGGCCTCGGACTGGCGTTAATTTCGAAGACTGAATCAATATGTGAAATATAAAGACCTTGACCTTAGAACTAGTGACCCCATTATGGCTATTCAATATATGAAATATGAAGACTTTGTGATTAATAGTTTTCATGGTAATGAGCATAAACCATTCTGACATTTAAGGACCCTGTGACTTTGACCTTCAACCTAGTTACCTTTAAATCAATAAGGGACATGTAATAGTTATTACCAATCAATATGTGAAATATGAAGACTTTGTGATAGCTTTCAAGATAATAAGTGGAAACCATTCTAATATTTAAGACCCCAGTGACCTTGAACTTTGAACTAGTGACCCTAAAATCAATAGGGTTCATCTACTAGTTATGACCAATCACTATGTGAAATATGAAGACTTGTAAGAAATAGCTTTCAAGATAATGAGTAGAAACCATACTGACATACACTGCCCCTGTGACCTTGACCTTTAACCTAGTGACCCCAACATCAATAGGGGTCATCTACTAGTTATGACCATCACTTTGTGAAATATGAAGACTTTCTGATAGTTTTCAAGATAATAAGAGGAAACTATTCTGACATTTAAGGCCCCTGTGACCTTAACCTTTGACCTTTTTTTTTTTTTTTGGGGGGGGGGGGGGGGGGGGGGGGGGGGGGGGGGGGGGGGGGGGGGGGGGGGGGGGGGGGGGGTTACATCACATTGACACAGTATAGGTCATATCCAGCTTTACTGGTGGAGGAAGACCTCAGGTGCCCTTCCGTGCATTATTTCAGGCACGAACGGGCACCTTAGTAGAAACACCGATGTTCCGTAAGCTAGCTGGATTGCTTCCTCACATGAAAGAATCCAAAGTCCCTTTTGGGATTTGAACCCACAGTGGTGTGGGGCAAGTGGTTTGAAGTCAAAGACCTTAACCACTCGGCCACAGACGCCCCAACCTTTGACCTAGTCACCCCAAAATCAATTGGGGTCATCTACGAGTTATGACAAAAAACTATGTGAAATATTAAGACTTTGTGACGAATAGTTGTCAAGATAATCAGCGGAAATCATTTGGACATTTAATGCCCCTGTGGCCTTGACAGTTGACCTTGTGACCCCAAAATCAATAGGGGGCATCTATTAGTTATAACCAATCACTATGTGCAATATGAAGACTTTGTGATAGTTTTTAATATAATGAGCGGAAACCATGTGGTCTACCGATGAAACAGACAGACCTACCCACCGACCTACATTAGCAAAACAATATACCCCCTCTTCTTCAAAGTGGGGCATAATAAATGACTTTAAAAAAGACACAACACACTTACCAAACTCAAGACAGGGTTACATGTCACAAAAAAAGTGATATGTCACGCATTTATTATGTTCATACAACTAAAATTTTCTTGTTATTTCTTCTGATTGAAAACTGATAATTTAGTATCTTTAATAAAATATTTAACCCAAGACAACTTTTAATATTTCAAATTTCATAAACAGAGGGGTGAAGTGTCTGCAAAAAATGACTAGGAGTGAAGTGCCTGAGGAATGAACTGTCTGTGTAGTTCTATCCGAAATACCATACACTTGGCTTTTCAAATTAACTTGAATGTTTTATTATAATATGATTTTATTTCATTTAAAATAACATTTACATGATGTCAATAAAACTATTTTGAAATATTGATGAAGCAAACCTACGCATTACTGCACAATATCATAGAAAGTGTTTGTTTATTTTATGCGTTTCTTCTCTGTGATTTGTAAGAACATAATTACTGTGAAAATTACTCTCAAACATCATTTGGGCTCTCATAATTATGCAATAAAATTACAAAATCAAAGCACTGAATGTACTGATGGGGAGGCTATGAGAGAATGTTTCAGACTTATAGTTTCTTTTCTTTTTGCTTAAAATATGCTACCAAAATAAAAAGATATGCACATTGCGCTATTTATCCTTACTGTTGTGTTCAACCATTCATATATATGGTTAATGTGGTTGGCTATTCATTTTGTTAATATTCCAGAACATTTCATTGAGGTCTACATTCGGACTGTTAATCATGCAAATTTTGAAAAACCTAAACTGTCAATAATAAATGACCAGCAAGTATGACGACTGTTTATTATCAGATAACAATAACATTTTACAACTGACGGTTCCTTATCAAAATATTCTAGGACTGTTCATCATAAAAATACTTTATGTCATTTTAATATTATTGAATGATAATAACAACTGCAAGCGATGCAACATTTTTATTGAACATAAAAATTATACACATTTAGATGTACCATAATTGAGATCAATAAGATACTGTCTTGTATGGAATGCCGGTAGGGACATGCCACTTTGCTTATTTGCCAACTACTTAATTGCTTATTTGCTAATTGCTGATTTGCCAATTTGCTTATTTGCTGATTTGCCAATTTGCCTATTTGCTAATTGCTTATTTGCTTATATATATATTATATATATATATATATATATATATATATATACTATATATATATATATATAATATATAATATATATATATATATATATTCTATGCTATTGTCAGGCGACACGTCCGACTCGCGAAGTTCTTGTTTGATATAAAAATAACAAGTCTTTGTAGACTTTATTTCAAGCTCATGAACCTATATCATGTTATTATGTTTATAAAGTTTTGTTAATTGAAACTTGCGACAATTAGGATCAATCCATCATTACCTAGAATATAGGTAGAAAGACAGATGGATACATTTTAATCAATATCGAAAAAAATAATTCAGTTTCAAAAGTAGTTTGTTTTTTTTAATTATCTTGAGTTTCAGTTTTAGCTCCACTATTCAGAGAATAGGGATGCTGTTCACCCTACAATGCATTGGTTTTCTTGGTAAGCTTGTTTTTCTGCCATATCTCTGTTACTTTTGCTGATTCATGCATCTTACTGCAACTTTGCATAAACTTTTGCGTTACAAGCATGCATACAAGTACATGTACATGAAGAAGCTGTGCCCGCTATATACTGAATGTCAAGGTCACCAAAATGTATTGTACTGAGAAGCCTTTGTTTTTCTGTCATATCTCTGTTACTTTTGCTTATATCTAACTGTAACTTCACATAAGCATTAAATAGGCAGCATGAATACACAATATTCAAAAAGGCTTTGTCCATTATACCCTAGGTTATGATCATGGTCATGGTCACATGATAGCATGTAAAAGTACAACATGAAGAAATGGAAAAGTGGTGAACAAATTTAAAAAACATTGAACCAAAGCAAAAATGTTTGGACAAACAGACATAAGTGATCTCAAAAATCTTACAGAGCTAAAAACGCAGCCTATTGCTTTTAAAAAAGTGCAAAGACAAACACCCGTGTTTAAGCATGTACCAAATGTATCATTTGTGATACTATGTGTTCGTACACTAAAATGAGGCCCTCTGTGACAAATCTGCTGAGAATAACGACATTTTATATGCCATAAATAAGAAATAGTTTTGTTTTTCAAGTTTTTTTATTTTCAATCTTTACCCAATAATGTTCACTTATATATGACTAATCAAGTGTTTTATTATCATCAATAAAGCTGCACAAACAGATCTATAGCTGCAACACGTTATAAGGCAGGCTCAAGCACAGATGCTGGCGGGTCAGATCCTGACCCTAACGTGATACGCGTCTGTAAACACTATATCAAAATTATTTTAATATTTATTAAATACGAATTGGACATTTGTTACAACGATAAACCCATTAAGTACTTTATTGAGACTTAATTGGTGGTATATGGTATTTTTTCATACCGGTATATGTAAAAATTGCTTGAAACCAGTTTAAACGATGCCCAATTCGTGTTTAAATATTAAAATATTTTAAAATGAGTGTTTACAGGGGCACGTATCACGTTGGGGTACGGGATCTGACCCCCAAGCATCTATGTTCTCAAGGACATGTCAGTCATCAGCTGTAGACATAAATCTGCGTAGGCATCACTGCAACTAAATTCATTGATCAACAGTTGTCTTGAAAAAACACTGAATTTACAAGAATACTGTTGGTAAAAGTTAACAGATCTGACTCAACTGGTTGTCTGTAGTCAGATTTTCCATATATTTCCGGCACAGTGTAAAGTATTTCTATTGCAAAAAAGCAAATAAGCAATTGGCAAATAAGCAAATACGTAATCCAGCGGTTAACAAATAAGCAAATTAGCAATTCAGCAATTGGCAAATAAGCAAATTTGTCGTTAAGACTATCAGCCATTGGCAAATAAGCAAATCGGCAATTAGCAAATAAGCAATTCAGCAATTGACAAATAAGCAAATTGGCATGTCCCTACCGGCATTCCATAGTCTTGTGATGAGTATTAATATTCATGCTCTACGGACAGAAGGTTGTCTTCTCCAGAAGCAAATCTCGAAAAAAATCACGTTTCAGAAAATTATTCCCATTTCATTACTGACGGCGTCGGATAATATTAAGGCTAAATATTTCTTGAAAAAATACATATCTGCAAAGCTTATTCAAAACTGAATCAACCTAAGTGAAAATTGATCAGGCAGTTATATCTTCTTTTTTTACCGCCTACACTCAACCAACTTATGGTAGTTAATCGATAGATTCTACGTGTATTTTTAAACCTCACTAGCTTGAAATATATACTGCGGAAAATCTGTTGTTAACAGGGTGTGCGGTTATTACGTAGGGTTTTCCCTGTCGACCATTTCCCGCAAATAGATGAGAACATCGAAGCCGTCAGTGCTATGAATGGTGTTATAAATGGCGTGTTTTGGAGTTTTTGTTGAAACTTCTCCAAATCCCTCCAGAGGCGTGCACGTCGCGGAGAAGGCACACGGAAGGTCATAGTCAAACTCATCATAAGTACCAGAGGTGATTGGTTGACCTGTCGTGACTTACTCTGGAGGTTTGGCGCTAATAGATGCCGTTTTTGTTGTCGTCAGTCAGAAAGTTGATGCCTTGGCGGTATTGTCGTCTCCTTTACCACCAAAGAACGAAGAATGGGCTTCCAGGAAGAATCTGCTTGAAAAAGACGTCCCAGATGCTATAATCTCGGACATATGGTTATTCCGGTGCGGAGTACAAATAAACTTAAAACACACACACTTTTGTTGAAAAAAAAAACAAAAAAACAACAACAACACATTTTCTGTAGTAATTTTTCAAGTGTTGTAAAATGAATAAGAAATTCCTCTTATGCCGCCGATTATTTTTGGAACACAAACATTAAAGTTCTTTTCTTTTTTATTTTTCAAATAAACATTAATCACTTCAGCGCGCGCAAATATCGTTTTCAAATTAAAGTTTCGTAAGATATGTTAATGACTTCCCGATGCTCGACTGTAAGTAATTTGTATATGTATGCGGGTTTTTTTTTGTTTTTGTTTTTTAATTAAAGCTTCTTATTCTTTAATATTTTTTATGTATCTCATAATCTGTATTGAAAATTTGAATTTTATTACACATACAAATTATGATGTATGCCCTAGAATTGAATAAACTTTCATATTACACAATACGGGGTCATACTGATCTTTGCGTCTTTCTCTGAAATAATTATTTCCTTGTTCAAACATATTTGACCACATATTTCTGTCAATTTACTTCCGATTTTTTTTGTACGGAAACACATGTTTCTATTTGTGTTTTCTAATCAATTCGAATCTATAACGAATCTATAATCAGTTTAATGGGATCACCACCGGGTAAACGACTACTAGGTACTTTGGTCATGTATTTGAATGTTTCTATTGGGATTAAAATGAGCATAGTTAACTAAACAACTGGTTGTATAAATCCCTGACCTGTCTAATTCTAATTATGAGATTAGTGAATATATAAGACTTTCACTAAAAAATATTCCTAAACAAAACAGCACATGTTTAAATTTATTCCTATACAAATAAAAGATCAGAGTAGGGATCTGTCAATTGCCAAAGATACTTTTATGTTAAAAGTTTGATTAATGAATTGTGTAAGATGAAAATATAAGTATTGCTTTTTTTATTTTGCTAATGTAAAATGTAATATTGTGCTGGAATTTTGTCGGAGCGTCCTTAAGGGGTTTTGTAGTTAAATAGTTTTTTTTTCGGCGATAATGGTTCAAGAATATAATGTTTTCAAAACTAAATGTTCATCACCATCAGTGAATTTTTTAGTTAAATGTATGCAAAATATTTACTAACAGCTATATGATATTGCGGTTTATGAGCGTTTTCCGCGTACAGCCTCCTGGGGTGTACTAATAAGTTAGTTTTCCTTAGTTATCACGCAAGCATGATCCATGTCTCTGATGTAAGCGACATACAATTATTTGTCTTTAAAAAATACTAAGGACTATTAATGGTTTATAACAACAAAAGAACATGCATGATATTGAGAATACGGTGTTGCAACGTTCTAGTTAATGACCCGTCATAAACAGTTGGTCGCTGCGTAGTAATTGGAAAATTGTTATCAAAAAAAATAAAGAATATTTGCCACTAAATTAAAGCATTTACTAATAAATTTTCATTCATGCTTTTTGTAAAAAAAATATTGATAAAGTTATTATTTTGAAGGGTTTTCATACCAGAACTATTTATTACAGACGTACGTATGCCTAAACCTGATTACCGCGGTAGTATGACGTCACGGAGTAGTGATTTTAACAAAAATCAAGAATTTTTTCAGAGAATTATTATCTTTACAAATTGCAGATATGAAATTAAAGAATGAAAATATTTTCATATTGTAAATGTCTGTGATGAGTGATGAGTCAGC